CTTTCTGATACGTAAAACCTTTTTGATACATAGAAAACCTTTTTGATACGTAAAAAATATTTTTGATACGTAAAAAACGTTTTTGATTCATAAAAAACCTTTCTGATACGTAAAACCTTTTTGATACATAGAAAACCTTTTTGATACGTAAAAAATATTTTTGATACGTAAAAAACGTTTTTGATTCATAAAAAACCTTTCTGATACGTAAAACCTTTTTGATACATAGAAAACCTTTTTGATACGTAAAAAATATTTTTGATACGTAAAAAACGTTTTTGATTCATAAAAAACCTTTCTGATACGTAAAACCTTTTTGATACATAGAAAACCTTTTTGATACGAAAAAAACCTTTTTGATATTAAAAAATCTTTTTGATACGTAAAAAACCTTTTTGATTCGTAAAAAAAACTTTCTGATACGTAAAACCTTTTTGATACGAAAAACCTTTTTGATACGAAAAAAAAACTTTTCGATACAAGAAAACCTTTTTGATACAAGAAAACCTTTTTGATACAAATAAAAACCTTTTTGATACGAAAAAGAAACTTTTTGATACGTCAAAAAACCTTTTTGATACGTAAAAAAACCTTTTTGATACGAAAAACCTTTTTGATACGAAAACTAGACCCTGTATGCAGGGTTTACACGTGCCCTTTTTTGTAGTGATATTTTAATATTCAATAGTATTGAGTCCAATTCATCATGATTCATTCATGTAATTTTATGAGTTGTTTTTGCGAGCTACACCTTAACTCAAAACAACGGAAATTTTGTTACGTATAAGACATTTACATGAAACTTCACCAAATCATTGTAAAGATGAAATATTCAAGAGATACTATTCAAAGCCGGCACAAAAACTGATGTACAACTGCACTCAGAACCATTTATTTAGCATGTAACATTGGCTAACACATAAAGTGCTTGTTTATCGATAATAATATACCACTGTAAAACTCAACTGTGTATACTTCTATGCMATAGTAAACAAGGCCGTTGCCTCACGAGTAGTAAGCGTGTCGATCTCTGTACTTGAGATCTCCTCGTCATCATAAATTAACACATCTTTGATCGTAACACCCAGACGAGTAGTGAGTGGCTGATTTTCGTTGTAAACTTCCATGCTCTTTAGTATATTCTCCGTTATTAGACAACACTAGTCAAAATGGCGGATTAACTGTGCAGAACGAGTTGAGACTGTGAGCTAAAGTGATTATGGGTAGCCTATAKCGTTCGGAACATTACAACGTAGCAATGTGATTGGCTACCGGATAAATGATTCAGAATGTGATTGGCTACGAAGATGGACCGAAGCCAAACTTTCGACATTGTGAAAAAAAAAAAACAAGAAAGTGACAGCATTTTACTACACGTTCCCTGCATAGCAGGGCACGTGTAAAAACCCTTTTTGATACGACGAAAACCTTTTAATAGGACACAAACCTATCTTGCGTGACTTTCTGAAATCGCATTGATTTAAAGCTTTTTCCTTTGAATTTCCTTCGTAAATAACCGTTCTATTGCTATGTGGAAAAACGTAATCGATCAATTGAATCGGTTGAGTAAACCGCCAAACTCAATGCTAAAATCAACGACCTGAATGACAATATCATTTCATTTATGGGACCCGAGGTTCGTGACTAACTGAATGCTATTTTACTTTCAATACTCAATGTCTTCTTAATGGCTTTACGGTATAATAATATATTATGTTCTATTATCCTATATTATCATTCTATATTACTGGCTACTATTATTAGGGTTTGAACTTAAATCYTTACTTGCATTGTTCTTTCTATTTTATATGTTTATTTTTTTAAGCGTAATGTGACATCTTCTATAACCTTATGACCTTATTAGAAAGTCTGCCACTAATTCAACAGTTTTCCTATAAATATCTACACCAAAGTCCATACTGTTTGAGAGCGGATCAACTGCCTGGAATAGAGATGACATTTGTTCCTCGTTCAGTGGATTCAATGGCTCTTCCACTATTACTGTCTCGTTGTTGACATCAACATCAATCAGTTCGTCTTCAAAGTAGACCCCATAGTTCGACAAATCCGGATTTAATGTCTTGTACTGCTGTATAGCCTGAGAATCCTCCAGAGACAACTCCAGAAATCCAACGTTGATATGGGGTCTGGTTCTTCTCTGTACTAAGGGCATGATGATTCCAACCCAACCGAAATTCTTCTAGTGCTCTATTTATGCGTGGTAAATAAACAAAATGTAAGCAAAACCTGTCTGTATCGTTATCRCGATCCAAAATGCCTTCTTCTTCCATGTCGGAGAATATGGAATAAAATGTGGATAAACAGCAGCGTGTGGTATCTCGATGTAACCGTTCTATGCGTTGGTTATAAACGGAAGAACCAGCGATGTGTGACCCTCTCCCAGGCCCCCTTACTGATTCCATGTATTTTCCGATTTCGGCATTTTCTCCACCGTAGTCGGTGCGTATACGTGATGGGACCCCATATTTATCCTTACTTTCCAAAAAACTCGCTAGTACCGTCTCGGCTCTGTTGTTAGTAGCACACTTCAGAAACACAACAAGCCGGGAATAGCCATCGATACCTCCATGAACTACAAAGCCCCATTTTATAAGCTTGTGCAGACCGTCAATGTGCCATAACGCATTAGGACCAGGGACGCTGTAGTGATAACGGGGATGCATTGCATTCCAGCGCATTKAAGTATTGATTGGGTCGATCTTGCGTATAATATCTCTAACGCGATGTCTCRCTACAAAGATTTGTTTTGAGCGTAGCATCCCCATGACCATACGCTCTCCATAGTTAGCAGATGCCGATTTAATATTTGCCACTTCATGTTCTAGTTCTGAATCAGATATAGCAGTAAACCGAGACTCTGAAAAATTGTAATTCACTTCCTTTAGTCTCCGCCAAAGTGTTGTTCTTGAAACACAAAGTGTGTGGCAAATTCTTGTCCATGTAAACCTCCAAGAGCGCAAATACTCAATTTGTGTAAGGTTCACAACTCGTCTTGGTCGACCGACTACGCCACTATGAGCAGTCAAACTCTCGGGAAATATCGTCGTAGAATAATACGTAGAATCCAAAGAAAGAACTCTCTTTTCAACTTGGCCAAGGAGGATTTCAATCGCAGAAATTAGATTTTGGACTTTCCTAATAACATCCTGACTGGCATCTTTCTCTTGGTCTTCTTTTCCCGTGCAAACGCGATAACTCTCTTGCAAGCTGTACGGCTGGACTGTAATCTCAATAGCCAATCTTGAAGAGTGTCCGCATTGGAGGATGAAATCCTGTTCTCAACTTCACTACACAAACTCTCGATTGAAACGAGAAAAGCAAGCCAAGATTCGCTAGCCATATCTTGTTCGCATTGACAGGGCCGCGTTTACAGTCGTTTGACACAACGCTGTCGTTCATCGACTCCGCGTCTCACGACAAGCCCGCATGTTGGTATGGGTAGAAATCACTGCAGCGCCTAGCTGTATAGRGGGTCCTGAAGGGGTAAAATGAGACTGGACCCTCTGTATGTATTAGCAGCGCGTGTAGTCTGGAATCTAGATCTGTTCGCAGAGTAGCAAAACCACGGATCACGCTATAAAAAATATTCACGGCTCACGGTTAACCCCATTGAGACCCTCAAACAATAGCGTATTATCACGCRAAGCTAATAAAAAAACCTGTMTATTGCACRGCTGTATAAAATGCATGCAAAAATWGTAAGACTTATAGTTGACAGTAGACTTCGAATCCTTTGTTTTCTTTTTTTCTTTGACAACTAGTACCAACTGTTTATGAAAGACGTTCATTAAAATTAGCTTGAGAACTATCGGAGTTTGATTTCACATGCAGCTCATTCCATTTTACGTGATGTTCGTTTTAATAATGCTCCGTCATGCTAATTAACATAGACCGCTGCTGTATGACAGGCCATACGAAAAAATTAAAGYGYATGACATATGACTCGCATCTCAGGGTACGGGGTCATGCCTCGGAGTTGACGGATTAACATCGGCCTGTAATATTCCGACAAAGCCACATGACATGCGGTCACATAAACATGTTTCGCAACTAGGCATTGCAAAGGCGATTCCAGATACCCCGAAAACTTGCAGATTCTTTAAAGGAATTGTTAGNGCTGAATCGGCGTTGATTTCCTTTTCATTCTCCCAGATAGGTCTCCAAAAATGTTCGAAGTCTACTCTCTTGGTGGTGTTTGGATTAATTTCCTGTGCTAGGTTACTTGGCTCTATGTATTCAGGGTGTGTGTTTTGAGCGTCGGCTGTAATAACTCTTTTACAGTGGTCGTAGAACTTTGACTCATTTCTGTCAAACCATATGTTAGCCTTTTTCCGTTTTTCTCCTTTCAGTTTCTTTTCTCTTTGTTGTTTGAGTATTCTTAGGTTTTGGATCTTTGACTCCTTGAGTTGTAATAACGAGTCCTTTGTTACTTTAGTAGGGATTTCCTTTATCATCCATTTTCTGTTTTCCYTCATTTTCCTAGTTAATTTACTGTTCTTTGAAAGTCTACGCATTTCTTCCGTTATCTGTGAGCATTCTTTTCTGAGTTGTTTAATCTTTGATTCTATTTCTATCTGCCATTTTGGTATTCTTTCTTTCTTTGTGTCTTTCTTCTCTTGTACAAGCTTTTCTCCGGTAAATTTTTTCCACGCGATAGCAGTTGCGTATATTGCACAGTTTACTTCCCACAAGTACTCACTTGGCTCCGTTGCTGGGTTTGTTGTTATGAGCGCTCTGCTGATTTCGTTAAGGATGTTAGTTTCGGTTYTGTTCGGGCACTTCTTTGTGAASGTGACTTGTTGTCTGTCTTCAAGYTTWAGCGCTTKTGTTTCGTGGAAGATCTTTTGYGAATATTCAATTAGGCTGGAATATTTTTCTGRTATGGTAGTTGACTCTGTTGTATTTTCCTCRTCTATTCCTGGCTCTTTTGTTCTTTCTTCAATAGGTTCTTGTGATTGTTTATCTTGCTGATGTTGTAGTTCGGGTTCACTGGAGCGTTGTTCATTTAGTTCTTTTGTTACATTCTGTGTATTTGCGGTTGATTTTTGAATTAATTTTCTGTACTGGTCTCCGAGGTTATTCGATGTTTTCTTAAAGGAAGCATATCCTTTTTCATCCCAGATCTTCTTGGTTAAATCCTGGATCCCTATTTTTTGTCCGTTGTCTTTTCTTGGGCATTGTGGCGATTGGTGTAGGGTTTCGGCCTCTTTTCTAGCGTCAATTAGGGCAGTGTTCATGTCCACGGTCCATTTAGTTCTTGTGCGTCGTTGTGGTTCCGCATTCGTTTGTCCATCTTCTGTAGAAGAGTTTGCTAGGTCTTGAATGGGTTGTGTTCTACGTTGTCTCGGCATGTTGGTAAGTAGGACCAATAATAATATGNAATATGTATTTCATATGTACCTCTGTGTTGTGTTTTTCTTTAAAGTTTCAGTGAAGTTTCAGGCCATTTGCTTCCATATTTAGTGATTTATGGCTGATGTTCCACAGCGTTCTAAGAAGGAGTAGGCGAAAGCCGTGTATTGCTCGTTTACTGTTTCAGTCCTAGGTTTAAAACTCACTTAAAAGTATAATGTGATTCTTGGTGACAGTTTCATTAAAAAGTCAAAAATACATTGTTCTGGTTTTAGTTTATCAACTCTCGACTCTTGACAGCATCACTCAAATAAAGATAGTGTTAATTGGCTTATTGATGATTCATACTGGGATCCAGCTGATCAAGGAGTAAATTAAGGTTGTTAAAATTTCACAAAACTGCTTTAAAAGGGGTATGAGTTCATAGTACTCATAAAGCAAAGTTCTTATAAGTTATAGTCTATTTGGTTAATTCTTTTCCGACCAACAAGCGGAAACCAAGTCTCCTGACGTCTTGGCAATTATAGTGCTATTTCCTTTGATCGGATTCCAAGCCTACCAACACTCACGCCCGTAAAATGATTTTATACTGCATAATGGAAAATTAATTAAAGGTAGCTTGACAATATGAATTTTATTTTCTCTCGTTGAAAACAACATTTTACTAACTATTAAATGTTCAATACAATAACTTTGAAAATCAACCTTTTGTAGCCCATGTGAAAATCACAATATTGTATGCAACCTAGGACAGAAACAGTAAACGAGCAATACACGGCTTTCGCCTACTCCTTCTTAGAACGCTGGGGAACATCAGCCATTAATCACTAAATATGGAAGCAAATGGCCTGAAATTTCACTGAAACTTTAAAGAAAAACACAACACAGAGGTACATATGAAATACATATTATGTATTTCGTTATATTGCTAAAAAGCACACAAATGTATAGCTTGGGCTACCTGTGGAAATTGTGTACGTGACTCTATCATGTTACTAATCTGATACATCTGTTTTTTTTTTATAAATCTGTCAGTTTATTATTAGTCCTTATTTTACAAAATCCTAGGTGGAAATTTAAAAAACAAGGACTGAGTCCTCGTTTTACAAATCCATGTAAAACAAGGACTCTTGCAGTCGTCTTTGTTTTCTGAGTCCGGTCCTTGTTTTCTAAGTCCTCGGTTTACAACATGCCATGTTTATTTGAAGCGGCCGGAAGCCTTTAAATCTGCTTCTGTTGAAAACGGAACAATATAGTACTAACAGAATTTGTGACACTTGTAACCAACCAAATAGCAAATGACTTTGTGCTTCGGTACCCTTATTACATTTATGTTATATTTGCTCTTTTTCAATCTCCCGCGATCCACAGACTTCATTCTAACGGGTGGCAGTTCAATCAAATCTTATAAGGATGTGTTAATAGGTTTATGTAATCGGTAATGCCACACCTCTGCTGTTAATACATGTAGTAAATTCCTTGCCAAGTGTCAATGTCATACAACTACAACAGTAGCGCCCCGCACTTAGAATAACGTCTAATTGATAAGCATGTCTCTACTAGTTCGACCAATCATAATTCAGTACCGGCTGTCATTTTTCCTGTCGTTGTGGAAAAATGATATCCACTGAAAAATTTAGTATATAAAGAAAGAGCAACTAATGCATTATTCAGATTTGTTCGCGAGAGTCAGGTGTACTATACTGTGTTGGAATTAAGAGCAAACATGAGTAACTCCGACAATGGCAGCACGGTCCTGATTGACGAATTAAGGGCATTCTTAGAAAGAAACGCGAGCAGAAGCAGCTCAGGCACAGTAGCATCAAATGTAGCTAGAGGTATGCGTGGTGATACCGCACTAAGTTCAAATATCAACCGCGTATTTGGAAGCTCTTCCAACTCTTCCAGCTCTCAACGACCAATCCTGCCTTCCGCAACAGCACCAACGGCACGCTATGCGCCATACCGTCCGAGGTCCACGAGGAACAAAGGTAAAAAGGTCAAAACGTACCACATAAAACTTGCAGTAGTGGATTTAATCAACGAAGTTCAAGAAAGAGGCTCGACTGAGGAATTTAATGGGCGTACACTTCTGGAGTCTCCATTCATGGTTAGCGAAAATGAGCAAAATAGAGAAATTCGTGAAAACGCTCTTAAAATAATAAGAGCGAGGTAAGTTATTCAAACGCATTTCAGATGAGAAATAAGAAAGCTTTAAAGATAGGATGGATATAATTGCATTTGATGCATGATATTGTACAACATCGAAATAGTTCAAATAGTGACTACTTGAACAAGTACTAAATCAAATTTAAAGAATAGTGCTACTGAATTAGGTTTATAATTTTCGCGGTCGAAAGAAATTTCAGAACCTGAGTGCATTCCAAAGTCATGTACGACAAACGTGGACGTGTTGTTGATCCCGTGATCCCTATTTCCGATCTTYGTAACTATATTTTGTGTAGCTCGATTTAGAAATCGCGTCCTCTCTTCTATCTTGTAGATATAAGGATTATGATGGAGATTTCAGTTACGCTATCAGAAGTTCTCGGCGATGTTTTAGCATAAGCCCAATTCAAGAACTTAGTGCTAAAGAGGTCTTGACTCTAAAAACAAAGTCAACTGGCATTTTGTACATAATGCTAAGCAAAAATGCAGAGCCYCCAGTACAAGATGAAGACTGCCATGAAGAAATTGAACATGAAGCCATAATACAAGAACCGGAGGTATGTTTTTGGACAGAGATTAATTCGGTGTTTATTTTGTTTTTACCGCAACAAATTTCCCGCCAAACGTTTTGAACTCTATGAAAGAACAATTTCGCAAAATAACCAAATTATTACCTTTACTTATATAATCATATTCGAATAATTTAAATCAACTTTTCAACAGATACTTCACTCAACCCCTGTACGCTCCGAAGGTGGTCGAACGGTAAGCTTTTTGAATTTCTCTCAGTAAATACAGCCTCACGTCGTTGCAATCAAACTTGTTATCTTCTTGTAAAAGCGTTTGCGATTTTTGTAAAAAAATATACAATACTTTTTTCATTGATAGATGACATGCGCAGTGAGWTTTGCTACTGACATTTTTTGTTTAATCCTTTGCTAGACCATTTTAGCAAAGTAATATAAAAACGTGCCTCAGAYGCATTGAACTCTAGTAAAATAGGCATCTGATCATATATCACAGTTTAGAAGAAATCTTCGCAAAAGGCTAGCAGCAAGTACTGCACACGCTAGCGAATCAAGTGATTCCGAAGAAATATCCGATGGTGAAGAAAGCGAAAAAACTGATTTGCCAGAGTYATTGGTAAGCAATTATAGTAAAGGACTGACATAATGACGACTTCTAACAAAATTCTTGCAAAACGCTGTATCCGTATTGTTATGATATGTGCTAGTAAACCATTTATATATGGTTGACTAATTTTTTTCTGTAAACGTTTTAGCTCTTTTTTGGGAGAGAAGCGAACATAAGACGGTCACACGAAAAAGAAGTCCTTGGTTAGTTYCCAGTCCGCGAACCTAGAACATACGATACATGCCATTTTAGAGTTTGTTACTGTTGCGATACTCCGCTGATAATTCSCTTGCAGGCAAYTTGTGAAGGAAAACTTGTTGACCATTCACACGGACTATTTTTCCTTCTCAARAYACTTGTCAAGGAAAAATTGCTCGTGTAAACGTCGCGTAACTTTTATTGTTTGACACGTAATTCTTTTTCTTCACAGGATTTTACAACCCAGATGGCAAATCTTGTGGTTTGACTGCCATTCTTCTTTTACTGCTGCATGTCAAACCGTTCACAGCATTTGTGGAGAAAAGTCAAAGTCCCATATGCAGTTTAATTAAAGATGTATGTACACAGGCTTTTCATTTAAYACTTACGATTGTGGGCACGCACTGGACCTTGATTTTTTTGACAACTTTCTTAGCTAATTTCTTGTGCCCTTATTTCTAGATTTATCAGCTGAGAGGTCTGAGAGACAGAAGGATCTCCAAAGTCTTTGGAAATCTTTTGGAAATGCTGGCCTTACCAGTCGGTCGTATCGACTGCAATGAATTCTTATTGAAACTTTTTACGAGGCTCACTGAGGAAGAGGTAAATTAACAATAGACCGTTATATCAGAAAACGATAATAAACTGTAATGAAAATAATACTAATGATAATGATAATGGAAAATTTGTTTATTGCTTAGTTTATATAGTTTCACATCAAGATTCCCACATGACATCCGCACTAAAATGTTAGCGTATTAACTAATATTACGCTCTAAATCTATTGTTTCCTTTTGTTATTCTGGCTATTACTGTTTAATAAGTAACTTTTGTTTTATGGGTTTATGAAAGCCAGTCTATATCATATCACTACATTATTATGGTATATATAATGATTATTTTCAATGGTAATATGAATTATTTCAAAACTCTGTATAGAATTGAAAAACAGAAGCTGTGCAAGGATACGCAAAGAAAAAAAGTTGGAAAAAATAATATATGCAACTCTCATTTTACTSTACTAATGCAGGGTTTCCCCAAAGAAAGTTTCTGTGGTGTACAGAAAGGAAGTGTAGTTCTCAATTCTTCGGCGTCCAGGGAAATAGTGTTAAAGACAATAGAAACATCAGAGCAAAGTATCYTTTAAATATATCATTCAGGGATTTACTCTCAATGTACACCGACTTAATGAAACTTTGTAGCAGCTTAGTAACATTCCACGGTMCTGAGCCTGCAAAGCATTTCAAGATTTAAATGCGGAATTGATTTATTCACAGTATTTTTTTTCTTAAGTACTTAGTTAASATCATGCATTTTTATGGGGTATGAATAAATTAATTACGCATATAATTCCCGAGATTCTTTGCAGGCTCAATGTACTGGAATCTATTTCGCGATCGGCTGCATGCAATCAAATTGAAATGCAAGCGTTTTCATTTTTCTGTAGATTTGTTTAAACGTAAGTAAGGTTTTGTCTACTGTAGAAAGTACAACCTTAACTGACTGCTAAAGACGACATCATTGTGCACGATCTTTGCCCTCCATCAGGGGGGGTGCGCAGCTCTTCCTTGAGAGATATTCTCTCCTTTAAACTTAATGACTTCGAGGAGATGACATACCAAACTTTGAAAGAGAGATACCCAGAAGAAATAAGTGAAGGTATGAAGAATAACAAACTTCAGAGGGATAATGACTTCCCTATATTTACGTTTACTTTTAAGATACGGGAACATTGTGCCGAACATTGTGTATTGAACAGGATATACAATTTACCTATAAAAGTTGTGCTAATTAGCAAGGGTTTTACTTTCACTACAAATGTGAATGAATAACAATGGACATTCATACGGATACAGTAACAATTTGCTTTCAAAAAAATGAATGTGAATTTTAAAAACCCTTTTTTTGGTCTTATTATGTTATTTTTGGATGTCWTGATAGCTATGTCGGCAGATGACTCGGGAGAAAATCCTCACTGTATATACAGACGTTATTATCAAACTCCTCCACAAGTGCTGATGCTGGGACTACAAAGGGGAACTACGGATATGCATCGAAAGGTAACATTGAGAGCTGAGTAAGAGTGAAAGCTAATTGCTGCATGCTCTTATGYACCCTTAATATTCAAAATAAGTACATCTTTTTTTGGCACCACAGGATAACCAGAACGTTATAATTCCAAGGGTAATTCCTTTTCTTGATTTAAAAAAGCCAGAGAACGAGGGCGTTCATTCCTCAACTGAATCGGGAGAGGGACAATACACCCTTTATGGAATGATAGTCCATTCTGAAAAAAGAGACCATAACTATGCCGTTGTAGATGTTGGGACGTCGAAATTGTAAGTAATTGTTTTGCAAAATGTAGCCACTAATATTTTACTTCTTTCTGATTGCTTATTATTGATTCCATGCATAATTTTGTACTATATCCATATCCCCCGAACATAAAACGAGTCTAGATGTGTCATGTGTTTAAAGAGACTGACGTTTTTCATTAAACAGTTAACACTCAATGATAAGAAATAATGCATTCTTGCAAATTTTCATCTGTTTTTTTAGACATTCCTGCAAATTTTCATCTGTTTTTTTTTTTAGAATTCTGTACGACAATTTAGACGTTTACGAGACAGAAAATACGGATTCAGTTCTGAGGCATCTGAGCGGGAGTGGCAGAGATGACTCTTCTGGTATCCTTTTCAAAAGCATATAGAAGAAAGTCATTTTTTTGTTAAAGGAAATACTGCGTAAGAGCACAACAAAATGAGCAAACATTCTTAATTATAGAACCATAACATCTATGAAATGTATCTTTGACAACAAATGCAGTGGTATTCATATACTTGAGCAATCCAAGTTTGGCTACGAAAACACCCCCACCACCGGAAAAGAGCCTACGAAATGACGTAATTAAAAGGTGAATGAAAGCTGCATGTATTACATGAAAMACTAGAAGAAGCCGTTACGTATAGTCAAGACTGTAGGAGAGTCTTCATTTTAATTAACTTGCGAAATAATATGTTTTCATGCTGAACTGCAATCGCATAAATAGTTGAACAGGCTTAAACAAACATAGTTTAATCAATTAATTTAATCCAGTCGTTCGTTTGCTTGAATTTTTGTTTGTTCGTTTTTTTGTTTACATCATTATTTCTTTTCTTTTTTTGTATAATTATGAGTTATGTATTT